CAAAACTTATTTTAAAGATTTACTGCCCTTAAAAATGGAATCACAGAATTATACATGAAATAGAATTTATAATAAAGAAACGTAATAATATCTTTTTTTTTTGTTATAAAACATAATACATTTAACTGACATATTCTATAAATTATTCTACAAATCACATGCTATAAATGCCAGTATCTTCGATTATCCCATTAGCAATAATGATACTATTCTTGTTAATCGTAAAATTATTTGCACTATTAACGAAGATTATATTTCGAAATACACGTTTTTCGCAATACAACTGTGTGATTTATCCCAGTCTAAATTTAGTCGTAATATTTATGATCCTTAAATCGCGAAGTTGCAACGCCGTTGTAGTTGTAACATAAGACTTTCGTTTCTTATACCGTGGAAAAGTATCCTACTTTTACACGCTCCTCCGCTTTTACTCCGTATACTCGATTTGAACTTCAGTGCCTATTGTATTCTTAATTAAACTTCCGCGTCGCGATCTATTATTTAATCATCATGTAACATTATTGGGCACAATTTACTAGAAGACACAAATACTTGAAAAGATAGACGCATTTGTGTGCACAAGTAATATCGCATGCAAAGAGAAGCAATCGCTTTTGCATGCGTTGCTTTGTTATGCATTGATATGTTGAATATTGCAAATTTCATCGGTATTTTAGCTTGCCAGGCTCCAAGCAAAGCTTTATTGTTGTATCTCGTAACGTGATATTCCTATCCCGTGTATTGATCATAACATTTCGGATAGTCCTCTGTCGATCATCATATTTCGGAAGTAATATATAAGAATATATACAATACTTATACAATATTGCGTATAAGTATCACGAATGTTAATTTAAGGAAGATATTTTCTAATTTATTTTATGTCATTTTGCAACAGATTTGTGAGAGATTTATACATTTATCCATTTTTACTAATAGGAATACTATAGAATAATAAGATAAAACAATGAACAATGTATCTATATGATTGTCTATTTCATTTGTCCTATCTTTTTTTTTTTTGGAGATTCTATTGAGAATATATATGTAATTAAAGAAAAAGGATTATCAAGAATGAGTTACAAAGTGTGACAAAATCAATGATGCAATGGTGTGAATTCGTAAAATTTATTGCCCACTTTTATAAATTCTTGCTTATACTATATTGAGATAGTACTCTTCTCATAGTTCTTTTCGCATATCAAAGCATCTTTCTCAGATGGATTACGGCATCGCGAATAGGGTCTTTGAGACGATCGTAACAGTTGACATGACGCGAATAATTACATATGCTGCTCACCGCTTGTTAATATTTTGCAATATAAAACTATTGTCAGATCAATACAATCACTATAATGGAGAAAATGGAGAAATGGATTTGACAAACGATTACTGAAACCGTTCTGAGGCTTCTGACCTGCTTATCGACTTAAGCAAATGATGACGTAAATCATCAAGCAATAGCATATTTAAATATACTAATACAAATATGAAAATTTGTTATTTTTAATTGCTGTATGTGATCAAATACTAAGGGCAATAATGCTGCAAAAGTTAAAAATTTACTTTTATTATATATTTATAAGAAAATATTATTTGTTTTGTTTAAGTAAAAAAATTTTACTAATCTTTGATAAGATATTATATGTAGTATACTTAGTTCTATTACGCGATACTTAGTACTTTACAAGTTAAGATTAGATATCTTTATGTTAGTTTGAAAACATTAATGTGTTTATAATTCATTCATTCTTGTTTGTTTTCGCTTAGATATCATATTATAGTATCAATTTATCTTTAGTCTATATTGCAAACTATGATAAATACAATATTATTATATTATATAATGTAGAGCACAATAATTTAATAATATACAAAATATTAATAATCTAATTTGAGATTGAGGAAATAATAAGACTTTTAATTTCAAATTTAAATTAATGGAAAGATTAAATTAATACGTTTCGTAGAATATTGTGTGCTGGAAGTTAATACCAAAGAGAAAATATCCAACAGTGCTGTTGGTGCTAATATTAAGGAAATCCCTTGAAACGATTATTGTCTGTAATGATGATCGTGACAGCCATGTCCCAGTTGCTTCGCTTGCGGACCACGTGCACTCTATTGTTCCTTTCGTTGGGAAGACCTTACCTAAGATATATCCTGTCATTTTTCTTCAATGAAGATCTATGGGCTGCGCGATTGAAAATCTGACATGCAATTTTACACGCAAAAAACTTGCAACAATTTAATACAACAATTTTCATTACATTAATAATACAAAATTATGAGAGCGTTTCTCAATCATCTCATATTACTTTTTAATTGCGTACATTCTGGAAATTAATTAAAATAACTAAAAAAATAACTCAAATTTTATGAATTATCGAGGTTCTAATAAGTTAAACTAATTTTTTCTCTATCCATTTACGACTTTATGTATCTATGCTTTATATATACATGTGCGTGTGTGACTAATTGCCATTTGTTCCGTTTACTTTCGATTACAAAATATAATTCACCATCTTAAATAAAAAAATTTAAATAAAAGTGTTTAAATTTATGTATTATATAAATTATGAACAATGATAAAATATCACTTTATGAAATTACTGTATCATAAAAAAGATCGAAATTCCATTAATTGTTAAATCCGTTATTAAATTTCTTACTTAGTTTGTTACTAATTGATAAAAATTTATTTATTTCAGACAGATGGTATCGTATTAAAAAAAAAATATAAATGAACGAAAATAATGGATCCCCCTGCCTGACCCTGTAACTAGGATAAATCTCCTTCGAAAATTCTCCATCCACCTTTATTCTTAGTCGTCTCTGTCGTTTTAAAGTACAAGGTACGTAAATAACTAATCATTTGGAGAAAAGTCGCTCCGCTACAAGACATGAAGTTTTACTTATAAGATGTGGTTCTAAAGATTAATCACGTAGATTTTATTGGACGAGTAAATCGTTTCGATCAATCTATTTTTATTCAATAATTTAATTCAGTTTAGGATATATTTGGTCGATAGAGATCATATGATTTATTCACGCCGTCGATAGACACTGCTTTATCCTTTAAATTCAGTTGAGAAAGTTGCCGGGATCATGATTTCCTGTGCTATTCGCTGTGTAGGTCGCACTGGGATCCTTTTACTCTCATACCATATATCTCACGATTCTTCCCGTATATTCACAACGATTAGATGTCTCCGAACCGATTTCGCATCCGCAACGTGATCATTTTTCGATGCAATCGGATAGTTAATTATAGCTTGATTTCCTGATGGCGCGTCGACAATTTCGATGAGGAAATTTCAATGAGCCGCTAAATTTTTACCATTTGTAAGTTTTTGAAATAAAATTTATAATTTATTAATAATTTATCGTCTATTTTAATGAAGTTAAATCTAACTCATGGATGATTATAAAAAATATGATCTTTTAAAATATGTCGCTTTCCAATGTCTTTATAATTTCATATATAATTTTTTATACCTGAAAAACATAATAATATATACATAATAAAAATATAAAAATTTCTGATATAATAACATATATAAAGATATTTATATAAACATTTTTACATAAAAATATTTATTTATTAGAATTATAATTTAATGATAAACTATCATGATTTCGTTATTAAAACTCAAAAAGAATAATTTAGAATTAAGAGAACTTAAAAATTCGGAGTTTTGGAGGATCAAAGGAAAGGAACATCTGGTTATTCGAGAGAGAAAGAAAAGTTCTGAGAACTTGTTTCGCTAATTATTACATCCGGCTGTTATAGATAACGAGTTAAAGAGTTTTTTTAATCATTCAGACCTAATATTTTGTAAGAGATATGATAAAATAAAAAATAAGATCCTCGATCAAAAAAACGGTGACTTAAATAAAAATATGTTTAGGTCTCCTCTTTTTGTAATATTAAATTATTAAGAAATACACACACACACACACACACACACACACACACACAGAGAGAGAGAGAGAGAGAGAGAGAGAGAGAGAGAGAGAGAGAGAGGATGTCATTAAATTACGGCACCATCCATCCTGAGATAGATAAAGCGGACTAAACTAAGCCGAAAAATCCTGTATCATTTTGCGATTTTCGCAATGGTTAACAAGATATTAATTACTAAAAGTCGCTAAATATTGGTTTTTAATAATTTTTTCAAATACTATCAACTTTACAGAAAAATAGTAAAAGATAAAAAATGTTTATTTTTTTCTTATAAAGTTCTGAAAATTTTTTCAGAATTTTTTCAGAATTTTTTAATATCATATTTTTTTATGGTAATAAAAATAAGAAAATGCAATACTAAAAAGTTGATTAAAAAATTCTGAAAAAATTCTTAAAGTTCTATGAGAAGAAAATTAATGATTTATGTCTCTTGCAATTTTTCTGTAAAATTGATAGTATTGTATTTGAGTAAAAAATTATTGAAAACCAATATTTAAGGATTTTTAGTAATTAATATCTCGTTAATCATTGCGTAAATCGTAAAATGGTAGATGACTGTTCGGTTCAGTTTAATCCGCTCTACCTGCTCAGGATGGGTGATGCTATAATTTAATGACACCCTATATAGAAAAAGAATATAGAAATCGATAAGGACTGTTTTTTTTTCTTTTTCCATTACTTATTGAATTATTGAAGAAGATGAAAATCAATTCTGAAATATATTTTTGCATCCATTATGTATAGTCGCGACTTGTCGCCCTATAAAGGAGTTACACATACATGATGTCTACCCTGCCACACAAAGACATCGCCTCTTCTTCGAACTTAGTTGGTGTAGACGCTGTTTTCTTATGACTTCCCATATGTTCCCCAATACCCTTGGATCCCGGAGGAATCTCCCTTCCCATCATGTTAGTTGACCAATCG